AACTTAATCATTTCTTATAAATATTTTAAAATAATGATATTATATCCTTTATAAATATATGTAAAAATCTTTTTACAGCAATTTGATGTACATATGATGTTACAATTTAGATATTTGGATGCCAGGTTAAAATTTTCAAATATTGCTCCATATTTAAATCAAATATATGGTGGACAATTTGCACATGATCTAATATGGACACCTACTGTTTATGTTTCTAATGAACCCAGTTCAGCAATAACAGGAAATAGTGTAAAAGATATACTTGTTTCAATAGATCCATCAGGCATGGTTAGATTGAATACTAGGTTTGTAAATAAAACATTAAATTTATTATATTAATTAAATTATATTCTTATTATATTTATATAGTAAAAATATATTATTTTATTAAATATAATAATTATTGAATATTTTTTTGGAATGAATATCAATAAAATGTTATAATTAAAATTTTATAATTATATTTATATATGATATAAAATATAAAAAATATAATATATACAAATAGTAAAAAATAATTTTTAATAATATAATATTTAATTTATTATTGTGCTATTCTTTTATTATCATATCAATATAATCCATTTTTAAAATTCTTTTTTAATTATCCAAAATCATAATTCATAATTAAATTATAGATGTTTGTACAAATGCATATCTTTTTATGTATGTATTGTATGCAAAATTAGTCACTACATCTATAATTCAAAAATGATAAATAATCAAAGATTAGATTAATATTAAATTTACCTTTAACAATTAGTTAGTTATTAATATTACATGTTTTACTAATAAGAGTTATAATGTTCAATGTTAAAAATTAGATATTTATATTATATATTATTAATAAAAACATATAAAAAAATGTTTCACACATTAAAAATTTGAAACATTTTATTCCAAATAAGATTTAAAAAAAATCACATATAATTTAAAAAAATTATATATAGTTTAAAGCATTGGAATTTTTATAATTTTCTTTAATTATATTTAAGAAAAAAAATTAACAGAATATAAACTATTCAATCATTTATCTATATAATGAAAATAAAATATAAATTATTATAGGTTGCAAGCTACTCTTAACTGTGGGCTTCGCTTGGAGAAATTTCCATTTGATGTACAAGAATGTTCACTTGTTTTTGAGAGCTGTAGGATGTCATAGTTATTGTACTACTACAATATCAGCTATTTTATTCTATTATGCTCCTTGGAATGAATGGAATTTTTACCTACAGGGACACACAATGTGCTTGATATGGTGTTGTATTGGGACCAAGAGCCAATTATACTTGCAGATGAATTACATTTAACTGAATATAAGCTTGTTGAAAAATGGGTTAACGCATCAGAAGTATTTTATACTATATCACAACAACATTATGGTCATTTTGGCATGTATTTTTTATAGTAAATATAGTAATAGTAAATAATATTTTAAAAATATTTTAATTATTTTTTTATTTATTATATATGTATATAATTAATAATGCTTTATGTTTACAGCTGGTAATTTCAGTTCAATTAGCATAACATTTAAATTAGCACGTGAGATGGGATTTTTTATGATGGATTATTATATACCATCTATATTAATAGTAGTTATTTCTTGGGTATCCTTTTGGTTGCATATGGATGCAAGTCCACCGCGAATAGTTTTAGGTGATAAATTTAAAAAATATAATTTATTCAATACAAATTTATTATATTATAGAATAAAGAACTAATTAAAATTTTTATATCTAGGAACAAATACTATTTTAACATTTATGACTCTTGCATCAAAAGTAGAAAATTCTCTACCAAAAGTTTCTTATATAAAAGCTAGTGAAATATGGTTTTTAGGTTGTACTATATTCTTATTTGCAGCAATGGTTGAATTTGCTTTTGTTAATACAATTTATCGACGGAAGTATGTATTATTCATTTATGAATATTACTTTTTATTCAATTATCATTAATTTTTAAATTAAATACAGAAAAACTGTTCCCTTGAAGAAAGTAAATAGTAAATATATATTAAAATCAACATTAACGCCAAAACTGGCTCGAAAACAATTTCAAAAAAACACTACTGGGCTAGAACGATCACGATCTTGGTCATCACTTGATAATACAAATATAAATGATCAAGATTATTCAAGTCAAAATTATCTTACTGTACATGTAAATACATATTATATTATCTCATAGGAAAAATTTAAAAAATTGCAAACAAAAGAATTTATTTTTATAATAAATATGTTTTTTTACAGAGTTTTCCAAGTACTCTCAACATTCCTTCTGTTAAAATTGATGAAGATAAAGATCAAAAGTGCTCTATTGAAAGCATTACAAGTGTTAATAGTACATCATCACCAAAACCCTTTTCACGAAGAGCAACTCTTGCACAATTACATAATTTTACAACAATGACACCACAAGAAATTGCTCAGTGGATTGATAGACGTAGTAGAATTGTATTTCCTGTAGCTTTCATCATATTTAATATTCTTTATTGGTCTTTTATTTGGATATAAAAATTTCATAATTAAATTAATATATAAAATATATATATTTTAAATTTTTAGAAAAATAAAAATAATCATAAAAGTTTTATATTCATATATTATATATTAAATTAAATTTCAGTATAATTTTAAATATTGTTATCAAAATCATTAAATTGAAAATTTATTTTTTAAAGATGTTTGTTTATTTATTTCATATATTGTAGAAATTAATACAATGTTTCTATATAAATTCTATATATTAGGATTTACCATTTATTTTAATTATAAAGAAGTGTTATATTTTACAGATTTATATGAGAATTATATGAGCAATGTCTGAATAATAATAATGTTAATTACTATAATTAATAATTTAATTAATAATTTCAAAAATAAAAATTTGTTTAAATTTATAATAAACTTATATTATTTAAAAAAATATACAACATAACAAATTAAAATTTTAACTTGATATATACATTTTAGAATTTATTTATTTTTAATATTTTTAATATCACAATTAAAAAAATATAGGTTATTTTAAGAAACATTTTTTGCAATTGATGAAGTTTGCCATTTTTTTTTGGACACAATTTCATCACTAATACTAATGAAATTTATAAAATTTTTAAATAATGTTTATATTTTAATTATATATATATAATTACATGATCATTAATTAAAAATTTGCAATATATATAATATATAATTATATGTAACATATAATTATATAACGTATAATTGTATTTATTATATAAATATAAATATAAATATAAAATATTTATTGAAGTAATTTGAATATTTAAAAAGGAAGAAAATTAACATGTATGTATCTATATTTTTATTATTTTAAAAAATTTTACTAATTTTAAAGTTATTTTATTATTTATATATCATAAGAAAATTTACAATATATATTTTATAATTATTTTATAATTAATATTTTTATATTGTTATTCATAAAATAATATTTTTTTTTTTGAATTTACTTCTGATAACATATTTCTCTTAATAAGAAAATATAATTGAAAATTAAAATTAGTTAACTATAAAATGATTTCAAGACCAAATATTTCCATGTTTTCCTGATTGTATACCCTTCTTAATAATTATAAATATTTGTAATTATTATATGTATGATAAAATAAAAATATTTATTTATGTTTATATATATATGTAATATTTATATATATATATTTATTTATATTTCATATTTGCTGAAGAAGCTAATTTAAGATATTTAACTAAAGTATGGTTCTCTAAAATTTTCTAAAACGCATTTTGTAAAAAGGAGGAATAATTATGGTTTTTATTTATTATGAATGTTGTTAAATGATGAGAGAAATTTTTTTTTATATATTGAAAAATTTCCTATATTTATAGTATATCTTTATACTTTACCTTTCTAAATATAAATATTAAAATATTTAATAGATATTTAAATAAACAAATCATCGAAATATTCGATTGATTTTAAATTAAAGTATTTAAATTTTTTTTATTATAATTAATTTTAAATTACGATTTTTTGTATGTGCGTTGTATCATAATATATAAACAATCTTCAATTGTAAATTATTAAATTTATCTTAAAACTCTTTATTAAAGGGTAAATAAAAATAACCATTTTATTTAAAAACAAAACAAAAAAAAACAAAATTAATTTTAATATTTTTTCTATTTCTAATTTTAATATCTTGTCTCAATTATATTTTAGACAAATTAATTATAAAACATTAATAATTAGCCAATAAATTAAAAATAAAAGTATGTAATTTTTTTATAATCATATGTATTTTTAATATTTTCTATTTCAAAATTTGGTACAAACTTCCAAATATAACAGATAGTATCTCACTGAAATCAAATATTTATATTAAAATAAATTAATATTTATATGTTGATCTATATGAATATTTATATGGTTATGTTTGTTTATGTACTAGATACGTTGTATAAGTAGAAGTTTATACCTATCAAAATTAATATACATGATTATCACTGAATCTAAATGTTTTATAAAAATTTATACATATAAAATATGTATAATAATATAAAATAATTTATAAGATAAACTCATGTCCATACATAAATTTTTATATGCGTATACAATTTAAAAAAATATATTATTTTATAATATTTTTATGAACAAAATATATTAATATATAAATATAAATATTATAATAAAATGCAAATATATAAAACTCTGTGTATATCAGTATAATAATTATAATAATATTTTTATGGAATGTTACATATTAATATTAATAAAATTTGTACTTGAAGTAAAATTATATTATTGAAATAATTAGTTATTTTAATAACTACATAATTAATTAATATGAGTACATATATATATTTTTATATACATGTAATATAATTAAACATATTTTTAATTATATAAATATTTAGATATGCAGATTAAGATTGTTTATTTTTGAAAATAAAATGAATGAAATTTTGTAAAAATAAGTGCAAATATTCAAGTTATTTATTTATGTACATAAATATTTAATTATCCATTATGTAATCATTCTTATAATTTAATTGCTTATATGCATATATTATCTTTTTCGATAAAAATTTTTAATAAAGATTCAATTTGATTTCTTTCATCTTTTTGCTTTTTTTATCATTTCTTTTAAATATTTATATATAATGAAGTTATAAAATGATTTCAATTTATCTTTAAAATTGAATCCTTTCATTAATTATCAATCTTCTTATATTTAGTATCATTTAAATAATTAAAAAATGCTATATTATTTTTTATAATGATGTCATTAATATTAGTATCATATAATATTAGTAAATTCAAAATATTATTATAAATATTAGTACTGTGCAATGCTTGTACAAATATGATCAATATAATTTTAAAAAGTAATATTATATTACATAGCATAAAAAAATTTACCAAAAATATTTCATAAAATTTGTGCATAAATTTAACAATAAATTCAACAATACAAAAATAACATTTGTCCTACCTGAATTTTTTTTTTTTTATAAAATTTCAGTACTATTTTTATCATTGTTTCAATTAAAAAATCAATTATTATACTTCATAAATCATTATGAAAAATATTAAAAAAATAAAATATTATATACAAAATAATATAATGTAATATAATATATTTACTAATATATAGATGTAATAAATAAATATTTAATAAAATTATATATGCAATATTTTATGAGTATCAAAATAGTTATAATTGCATAATTTCAAGTAGGATGTGTACTTTTATATTTTTTTTTTTGTTTGTTAATTTCATGTGCTAAATTTTTCTTTTATGAAATATTTCAAATGGATACTATATTTTTATATTAAATGAATTTTATGACTTTGGAATATTAGAAGGATAAAATCCAAAATTAGATCTTAATTGTTCTAAAAAAACAAAAGTAAGAATAGTTTGTGGTGCTAATCTGATAAAAGCAGGTATATAGCCCTAAAATAAAACAATCAATATATTTTTAAAATCATATGATTAAAATTTTATTTTACATTAATACATTATTAAAAAAGATTATTATTTGAATAAACACATTCAAATATGATATACAAATAAATTAAAATGATAAGAATATAAATATATATTATAATATAAAATATAATAAATAATAATATAATATAATATAATAAATAATAAAATATAATAAATTATAATATATACGATTTTTTTTTTTAAATAAAATCTCTTCTTAAATAAATTCTTTATTATGACTAGAACATTAGAAAAAAGTAATAAAATGATAAATTGATAAATTATTTAAAACATTTATTATATATTTTATTAATTTATTATATATATTTTTATTCAATTTTAATATTTAATCTATGATAGTGTTGGATTATGTGTGTGTAAATATATTTAATTATGTTATCAATGGATTATATTTAAAATAGAAAAAAAATATTTTATCTATAATTACTTTTACAATTAATAAATAATGAAAAAAAAAATGATAAAAATATATAATATAATAATAATTATTACAAACAGAATATCATTTCAATCTAAAATATCTAATACAATCTAATCTATATATGAAACTATATAATTTAAAAAAAAAAAGAAAATTATAAATTAATAAATATTATAATATTATAATAAATTTTTTAAGAACATGCAAAATTATTCTAATTCTTGATATTGATATTACAACAAATAACAATGAACTATATATGAAAATACTATATTCCTACATAAACTATTTATAATAAAAAATAATATAAAAAATCATATATATATAAGATTTTCATTCTACTTATTAATTCTAAATGTATTTCAAATGTGTTTACCCAAATTATAATCTTTTCATTATTGAAATATAAATTGTAAAATAGAAATCATAAAAAAACTTAATGTAATAAGTAAAAAAAAACTTACTTTAAAAAATGCAAATGGTCCATTTTTAGCAGTATATAAAAATAAATCCATTAAATTCTACAAAATATAAAATATATTAAAAATATAAACATTTATATTATACGTACGTATAATATATTATTATAATTATGTTGTTAATTCAATTTTATGATTATAATTACCTTAAATTCTCCACGTTTAGCATTCATTGCTCTTGTTTTTAAAACATCAAATGGTTGTGTAAAAGTTGTAGCTACAGCACCCTTATTTAAGAATATTTAAAAATAAATATTATAATTAAAATATTGTAATTAAAAAAATATAAAATAAATTTGAAAAAATATTCATTTGAGTGAGATATATTTTTAAAAAAAATTAGTATAAAATTTAAAAATAACAAAATTGTGTAAAAATTATATATATAAAAATTTATTAAAAAAATTAAAAATATTGTTGTTCTTAGATATAATATCTTTCAGTAATATCTTTTTGTTTTTATAACTTTTTAAAAATAAATTTTTAAAAATATTTAAATATTGAAGCAGTGAAGATTGAAGAAAAATGACGAAATAAGCATCAAGGCAAATGTTTATAATAAAACAATAAGAAAAACTAAAAGGAAAGCTACAAGAAAGATGGCGCATAATAATGATAATATTCCTATACACTGCTTTTTTTATAGCTTTCCTTGCTGTTTTATTATAATACTATGCTTAAATTGAATTTGAAATGATTTTCTTTGATATTAGTAATGTTTACTTACTGCAAATATGCTTGATATTATATGAGTAATTGGATTATCTTTAAAATAACCACTTTCTAATAATATAATTTTAATTTGATCATAAAAACTCAATTGTCCAATAGTCATTAATGCAGCTCGTAATGTTGCTGTGGAGCATCCACTAAATAATTGACGTATCCCTTCTTCTTGAGTTACACGTATTACTCCATCTAGAGCATGCTTATAACTAAAATAAAATTTACCATTAAATAAAAGTAAATTAAAATGTAAACTTATATATTTACTTTCGTCTCAATTGTGGTGAAAGTTTTATATCATTTTGCATGCGCACATTAATTACATCTCCTGGTGTTCCTAAAACACCACCAGCTGCACCAGAAAATCCAGCTAATAACAATTTTTGATAAAATAATAATGGTTGTCCAGATGTTTCAAATGTTTGTTTACCTACCTATATTCCAATAAAATATTAAATATAATATTTTATATATTAAGTATAATATATTAAATAACAAATATAAAGTCAAATATATAATAAAATTACAAGCATACTAATATTATTAGAAATAATTATTGTATATAATATAAATAAACATACTTCATATGCTCCAAATCTCATTGTAGAATATGTAAGTTGACGAAGCAAAGAAGCACTTAATCCATTGTATAAAGCTAAAATTCCTTGTTTTTGTATTATAGATGTTGTTAATCGTACTATAGATATTTTACCTTCTTGTTGTGTTTGTAAATGAACCTATAAATATAATGTATATAAATAAAATGCTATTGTATATGCTAATGAAATGCTATCTCATAAAATTTTTCAAAAATGATAACAATCATTGCTCATTTAATAAATATTAAAATTCACAATATGAAATAAACTTTTATATTATATTAATTAAAAATTTAATATAATAAAGATTTAATAAAAATACCTTTAATAAATCTAAAGGATGGGTAACACAAGCAGCACCTGCAGAGGAAAGTCCACCAAAGTACCATCGTGACAACTTTTGTGTTTTATCTGTCATGTTTTTTATGTTTTATACTTTCATGAAATAAGTAAAAAAGACATATTCAATAATGAATAAAACTATTTAAAATAAAATTTAATCAATATATTTATTTATTTTTTATTTTTCTATTTTGCTATTTATATATATTTATATATATAGAATATACATATATATATTTTTTAAATTATAAAAATAATAAAAACTTCTTTATATATATATATTCGTAATTTTTGTTTAATAATATTTAAATATATTTTAAATATATTTTAAAATATAATTAATTTTTTTAGCTCATATATATTCCATTGAAATTATTTTTAATTTATTTTTATATATTATTAATTATCATAAAAACTGAAATAATTTGCGTTAATAATATGAAAATTTATATATATACGTATATATACGTCTTAAGAAAAATGAATTTAATCAAGAGATTCTTTAAAATAATAAGATTGAATTTTATATATTACAACTATTAATAAATCAATTATTTAAGAAATTTAAATAAAGAGATAATAATTTTTTATCTTAGAAAAATTAATATTCTTATATAAGAAATCAATTAAAAAATTTTAAAAATTCGTGTTTATAAAAAATAATAATATATAGCATACATTAATGCATATTTTAATGCATTAATTATAAATATATTTTATTTTATATATATTATATATGTATATAATATATATATATATACAAAATTTATCATAATTAATTATTTTCATAAAAAAATAAAATAATCTATTAATGATTTACAATTGAAATATTTATTTAATTTGAATTTGTATAGAAATTTAAATAATAGCTTGTTTTTAATATTATTATGAAATAAAATAGCATACATTATTACAATATTTAAATTAAATAATTAAATTAAATTATATTGCACATTTATATCTATAAAATGTATTAATTATGAATCTTTAATAGATAATTCTAATTCGCGATATGTGGAATATTTTTGCGCGCGCATATATATAGAATTTTATATAAACATATGGTATTTTTAATCAATTAGCAATAAAAAAAGGTACAGTAAAAGTCTGACATATGAAAATCATTTTTTATTAATTAAAATTAAAAAAATTACAAAATAATGAAAACAAATTTACATAATTGTTAATAAATCAAAGTAATAAAATGATAAATAGAAGAATAACAAAAGATAAGATAAACATATAAAAGATATAAAATATAAAAAAGCTTAACGAATAATGAGAAAAAAAACTTACTACAAATTATTAATACAATTTTTAAATCATTCTTGATCAGTACCTCCAGCAATATCTAAACTCTGACTGACGTAATGTCCAAAATTGCTTAATAGAACTGGAAGATGGTGAACGCGCACGCATCAGCTGATAACCACGTGTTATACCACCACTTTTCTAAACTGGAATTATTTTTCATTGATATGTTTATTTTCGAAAATCGTTTTATTATTTAACAAAATTATCGATTATTTATAAATAAATATTTATAAAAATTAATATTTTTATAATTCCAATTTATATTTATATATTTCAAAATTATATTTATATTTATGCAAAAATAATATAAAATAATATTTTTTATATTTTATTTTAAAAAAGTTTGAATTTTATACGTTATATATTATATTTTCCTACTTAATTATTATTTAATACCAATATATATATATATATATATATATATATACACATAAAATATTAAAAAATATTTTAATATTATATTTATTTAATAAAAAAATATATTTTACATATTACATATATTATATATCATTGATATATTTATTTTTAATATTTTTTTATAAATATTTAGTTACTATTAATATACTATTAATAATTATATTATAATATTTTTTACAAATAACAATTCTAAATAATTTTTTAAATTTAGATTAATTTTTAATATTTTTTATAATCCATTACAAAAAATTATTAATATGATATTACATAATGTACAAATATAGTATTTATGTAAAATTCATATTTAAAAAGTGATATGTAAATATATTATGATATTTTATATTTTATTGTGTTATATTTTTTATGAATAATATTAAACATGCTATTGAAATATTAATAATTAATTTTAATTTTTTTTTACTTAATAAGCTTAACATCGCATCAACAATTATGATAAATATTAAAATTTATATTTATATTTTATATCTGTTTAGTTTTTATTATATGAAAATAAATTTATTTTAAATTGTGATTACAAATGTTAAAACGTTTTCAAAAAAACGCGCCACTTGTCCATTTGCCCAATAATTTGATAATATATTAAATAGATAGTAAATGGTTCTAACCTAAATTTTCATGTAATTTTTAGGTAACAATAAATAGTCAGTATTATTTATAATAAATATATTTGTTTTACAATATAATTAAAATTTTTAAAAATATAATTTTTAGTGTTAATTATAATTAGTATAATGGATTCAGTGTCTAACATACTTGGTATTGATAAAGTAAATATGAATGGAAAATTAATTTTAATTGAAGAACAGCACGATAGTAATGCAAACTTTTTGTTAAACTCTGTTATATTTAATGCATTAAAAAATAATTATGGAATATGTTTTGTTCTATTCCATAATACAATGAATCATTATCATAACATGGGTATGAAATTTGGTTATAATCTTACATTATTAAAAGAAAAAAATAAGATTACAATTATAGAACCAATGAAAATGATTGCATTTAATATGGAATATATATATGAACCAATAAAAAATTGTATAATTAATGATGTATTTGTAATTATTAAAAATGAATGTGATAAAATGATGCAAAGCAATGAATCTATACTTATTATAATAGATGATTTGAATCATATTTTTAATTTCGGAACTAATTTGAGAGAAGCTATGTATTATGTAAGATATTTAAGATCATTGATTGAACAGTATAATACAGTTCAACTTTGTATTGTAACACATACTTATAAAGATGAATTGAAGAACTCTTTTTCTAATATATTCGCACAAACTCTTAAATATATTGCTCATTTATTCATTAGAATTGAACCTCTTGAAACAGGATATTCTAGTGATATATCTGGAAATCTAATAATTAATTGGAGAATAGATAATATTAGAATAAAATATAATTGGCCCCAAATATCAAAATATATATATAAGTTGTCAGATCGTCAAGTACAAATTTATATACCTGGTACATCAACTTTGTTAAGGTAAAATAAATTTTCTGTAAAAATTTTATGTAAAATTAATTATATGCTTACATTTTTATAAATTATAAATAAATTGACTAATGATAAATAAATTTACTAATTTTTTTATATATATTTTATTTATTTTATATTCCTGATAAAAAGACAATAAATATTTATTATTATCAAATTTCTTAAAATTCATTTTATAATTTTATAATAAATTATGCAGAATGATGAATAAATAGTAACATGAATAAACATAATATTTTTTATTAAAAATATAATTTAAAAATAATTTAAAAATATAATCTTTAAAAATATTTGAAGATCAATTGCATATATCAAAATTTCTACCAATAATTTCGTTTAAAGACTTTAATATTGCATAAAATCATGTATAGAGTAAAGTTAAAAATATAGTATCTATATAGTTTATATTAAAAAATAAAATACATCATAATTTTGGAAAAGAAAAAATAAAAATGTATTCAATTCAATATTTCACTTTTGTGTTAAAAACAAGTATAAACAAGGACAAAAAACAAATATAAGAAATAGTGAAAAAGAACAGAAATAAGAAAAATTTGGAAATTAACATTATTTTCAGAGTGATGCAAATGAAATATAAATATGAAAAGGAATAGTAGAAAAAAAAATAGAAATAGAGTAATAATTAATTATCAGCGCTATCTCTAATAAAATATCAAAACGTTTCTTCAAAATTCTTTAAAGATGACGTTAATTTTAAATTCTTATTCTACTTTATCTTGCTATTGAAGATATATTTCAAAAGATGGCACTGAAGATTAATTCTTATTCTATTTTATTTTTTTTCTATTATTTGTTGCGACACTCTGGACATAGCATTTATTTCCAAATTTTATCATATTTTTGTCTTTTTCTATTATTTCCTTTCCTTATCTTTTGATGATCTCGCATGATAACATACAAGATATAAAATAATTAAACATATTTTCATCGTTTTTCTTTCAAATATAATGTGTTTTAATCTATTTTAATCTTTAATGTAAAAAATAGATAGTTGTCAACTTCACAATATATCTTATTATGAAATATTGTGTAATTTTATTAATGAAATTCTTATGTTTATTTTCAAAAATTAATTTTGTAATGTTCCTGTGAATTATTATAAGTAAGTATTATTTAAGTACATGATAGATTTCTGTTTTCCATCTCTTCATGATAGTGATTAAACAATGTAATTTATTTTTTTCAATTCAATTTGTTGAAAAACTCGATTTGTTTTATTTTTAATAACACATAATAAGTAATTAGGAATTGACCAGATTCGTTCTGACTCCTTCGATTTCACTAGATATATTTTATTTGAAATATTTATTATATGTTAATTTTTAATTGAATAAAAATTTTACTAATATATCTATATCAAAAGGACATTTAATAAAATAATATGTTAAGATAATTAACAAATTTTTATTATTATATATATAAAAATAATTACATATGAAGTTATCAAACAAAAGACTTAATTTGAATTTATTCTCATTCTGTTGTTATAAAAGATAGGGTTATGTTAGGGTCATTTTATTAATTATAATTGGAGATTTTTTTATTAATCATAAAATGGCCTTTAATGCACATACAGATATTGGGAAATTAAAAAATTCTGTAAGTAATATTAATTTCAATTATTTTCTTTGTAAACTCGACAAGTTATTCATTGTTTGAATTGCTCTATATTTATTCGTGTAGAAAAGTTTGATTTCGTCTGCAGATTGTTATTAATTTTTAATTAATGACTAAAATATCAAATCAAAAACACAATATTTTTATTTTTGATCTTTATTTTATTTTGGTTTGAAGAAACACTTTAAATTGTTTTTAGCCCAATAAATCAATTGTATTTATACAAGAAGGCATCGAAGTCCAACATATTTCAAATACGATTAATGAAATCGTTGAACATGATGAAGTTCATATTTATCCCAAATTTATTCAATTCAAAGAGGCCAGTGAAGGAATTACATGTCAGCAATCTATCACTATTAAGAATACAGGCAAAAAATCGGCTTTTGTTAGAATTTATCAAACTAAATCAATAGTAAGTTAAAATTATGTTTTTATTGTTACTTTTCAATTGTTTAAAAAAATAAAAAGATTTCATTAAATTTTCTTAAAAATTAAAAAAATAAATTGAAAATAAAATTTTAACATATATTTAATAATAAAATATTAAAAATTTTGTTTTTTTTCTCTCTTTTTTTTAATCTCTTTTTTATTTCTTTTTATTTATCTCTTGATAATTTAGCATAAAGATAATAAATTACAATTCTTTTATCAAAAGATATTTTTCTCTTTCACGCTTTACGGCTAAATCCTTCAGGATTCTTGTTCTTTAGCAAGTGATATAATTTTAAATAAACTATCATATTTAAAGATTCTAAATATTCTAAATAATGTTATACATATATACTATATTTAACATCTGATATTTATATCATTTCGAATAGTCAGACATTATCTAAGTTTATTTATTAAAAAACATGTTATTTTTAAAAGTTCTATTCAATTTTTATCATAAATTAATCGAAAATGAAATACTGCCGATCTATCTGCAATTTTTTTTAAAATAACAAACGTATATGCTGTCAACAAATTACATTAACTTCTTTATACAGAAATATTTCATTTAATTATGACGATATTTAAATAATTTCAGTGACAAGCGATAATACAATTATTTTTCTACAATAATTTAAGAAAATTTAAAAATTTAAAAAAATGAAAAATTATTTATAATTATGAAAATATTTTTTGATTCTTGTTTATTAAAAACTTTTTCAGAGTTTTTAATAAGTATTATTATATATAACGAATAATTTAGAATTAACATTAAAAAAATTAATATAAACTTTAAACTTTAAAAATTTTATCAATAAAGTACTACTATTCATTATATTATATAATTATATTTTATAATTTAATAATGAAAATAATTTTTATTTTTCATTTTTTATGATTTTCTTTTCAGTCTTTTCAAATTGAAAGTTTGAATAAAGGAATAATATTGAATCCGGGATTTAGCATACGTACAATGATAACGTATTCCTTTAAGCGACCATCTTTGTTACACGTAGTGATTCCGATTGAGATTAATGGAGAAATTCTTGACTATCGTGTTATTTGTAAATTATTAGTCGAAGGTATTAGTATTGAACCGAAATCAATTGATTTTGGAATCGTTGACATTGGGCATTCTTCCGGTATTAAAATAATAACTCTCAAAAACGAAGGTGGTAAAAGTACTAGGTATTAAAGCTTTATTGTTTATATTTATCATTCATTGTTTTTTATTTTCATTTCATATTAAGTGTTAAGAAACATATGGAATCTTTCGATTGATTTATCTTCGATATCAATTCTAAACATTAAAATAAATTGGTTGGATTCTCCAAATATTTCCAGATGTTTCTTTAATATCAATTCATTTCATATAAAATTTTATATAAAAATATTATTATATTATAATAATAAATATTATTTTTGGTTTACTTTCTTATTTAAATTCATATCTTTTTATTAATAATTATATATATTAGTTTATTAACATTATTATTAATATTAATAGATTATATAAATTAATATTAATAGATTTTCAATTGATCTTGGTATTAATGAGTTAGAAATAACGGTGAAGCCTATGCGTGGAATCGTCCGACCTAACAAACCATTTCAGCTTACCGTTGAAATAATTGGTATAAATGAAGGAACGTTTGTCAGTGAATTTTGGTAAGTTTTACCATCTATATTAAATACAATATTGCTACAAAATGATGCATTTTTGAAAAACTTGGGAAAAAATATCGATTTAAAAATATATTTACTATACATAAGTATATATATATTTTTTATACTGTTTTTTATATTGTTTTATATGTAGTATATACTGTTTTTTAATGATTAAGCAAATATTACCATATTAGTAGAAAACTGCATATAGTGGAGATGTTCGTTACATTTGATTTTTTACATTATTACAATTTGATAAATATTTTACATTTCTTTCTAATCAAATTGTAATGCAAGGAAAATTATTTAATACAATTAACAAAAATTGTTACAACATTTGTTTTTTTCAGGATCAAATCAGTTCCGAATATACGCATCCCTTTTAATATCAAAATAATCATACCACGATTAATAATTTATCATCCAAATACGACTGGAGATTTCACATTGATTGATTTTGCGAAAACAGTTGCTAATACTCGAAAATATGATTCTTTTGTCGTTCGAAATATTTCTTCTCAAGTAGCGAGTTATGTGGTATTAGGTGAAATTGACAATGAATTTGTATGTGTGCGGGTAAATGTTCATTTTTTTTAACCATTTTTATTTTTCAATGAAAATTTAAAATATTAATTATTATTTTTTTCATTATTTTATATTAAATTTATTTTTTCATTATAATTAAGTAAATTATTATTTTATTAATATATATCATATTAAGATATATGATAGCTATAATTTTGTTGCTGTTTAATATGATTTTTTAAATAATTTTATATAAGATTTTGTATGTTTTTTAGAATATTGATCGTAAGAAATATCCTGTATATAGTGTTTTCGAAATTCGACCGACTCAAGGTCGTATTGGACCGTTTGAAGGTATTATTTTTGAAGTAGGGTAAGTTAAATATATTTTATAACATATTTTATTATTTTTAAACAATTTATAATATAATGTTTTTTAAATATATTTTTTAGATTTTTTTATCTCATTTATTTCTAATATTAATCAATATCTTTTTTAAATTAAATATTTTTCGGTTTTTATATTTTTTATATGGCTATATATATATAT